GTGGGCTCAAGGCAGAAGTCCAGAGAATGAGAAGTATTGTGGGCACCCTGGATCTTCCAAATTGTCCTCATGGAATTCCTCCTTATTTGGCTTGAGGATGCAGCTCTCTCCTCCCCACAGAGGAAGAAGAAAATTCCCTCTCACTATAAATGCTGCTTTCTGCACAAGGAAGGTTCATACCTGGAAGACTCAGTCTCTTTCTACAGCTTTCCCCACAGACTGGGGGGGGTGGGGTGGGGTGGCTGCTGCTCCTGGTAAGCAGCCTCTCGGTAGCCCAGAAGTGTTGGGCTCCATTTCTGGCCATCTCTGAGAGTCTGATGTTGGTAATTGGAGGCCACACTGATAATCTCAAGGAAAACGAAAAATGTTTTCTATTACACAAATAAGGTTTAAGCTAGTTGTTTAAATCCTCTACATTCTTCTTGATTTTTGGGTCTCCTATCAGTTGCTGACATCGTTGTATTAAAATCTCCTGACATGATTGCAAAATTATCTATTTCTCTTTTTTGTAGGCACACACACTCTCTCTCTCTCACTCCCTATATATTTACATGTAAATATATATGTTTAGTACATATATGAGCAATGTTATTAGATGCACACAATTGTGGAACTGTAACATTTTCTGGTGGACCGACCCTTTTATGCTATGTCTTTCTTTGTCTTTAGAACTGCTACTTGCCCTAAAATCTCCTCTGTCTGATCAGTGCATCTTGCTTTCAATTTTACCATACCCTAACATTTAAAGTGTGTCTCTTATAAGCAGCATATTGTCCATTTAGCATCATCAAATATCCAGTTTAACAATCTTTATCTTTAAATAGAAATATATGCTTAATTTAAATTTAATATAATTGCTACCACATTTCGGTATAAATTTATCACTTACAATTTGCTTTCTAGTTCTTCTGCCTATTTTATCTTTCTTTTCACTACTTTACCGATTTCCTTTGGGTTTTTAATTCTATCTGTTTTATCTTCTATTTGCTTATTTGTTACACATTCTCGTGGAACTTACATTCATCCTTGACCTATTAACATGTCACATAAAGTAGTAACTTTTTTCCTTCCAAGACAATGCAAAGATCTCAGAATACTTGAACTCCATGATCTCCCCTCACTTTCAGTGTTACTTTTATAACATATTAAACCCCACAAGACATTACGACATTTGTTTTGTAGAGTTAATGTTTGTGCAGTTTTACACACATATTAACCCTTTCTGTCTGTCTGTATTTCTTCATGCATTTCTGTGCTTCTTGCTGCAATAATTTTTCTCCTGCCTGAAAAGCGCTCTGGTAAGATAAGTCTGCTGATGATGAATTATCACAGTGTTTGCTTCTCTGGAAATGTCTTTATTTCACCTTCATTTTTGAAGATATTTTCACAGGGTATAGAATTATAAATTTCAAATATTATCATTCAGCATTTTAAAGATGTCATTTCCCTCATTATTGTTGCTCTTTAAAGGTAATAAACAAAAGGTAATAAAGTCCCCCCCACCCCCCGCCCCGGTAGTTTTTAGATTTTTCTCTTTATTTTAGTTGCCACCACATATTCTGGTTCCACTGTGATGAGTCGCAAAAGATTTTCTTTACAATTATCCTACTTCTCTAGTCTATAACTTAGTCTTTCATCAGTTTTGGAAATGTCTTGGCCATTATCCTTCAAATATCCTTTCTGCCCCATTCTCTCTCTCTCTTTTTTCTTCTGAGATTGCAATTATACATATGTTAGACTTTTCCATAATATTCCAAGTATCACTTTTTTCTCTTTTTTGTATATTTCATCTTCTTATTCTCTTTGTGCCTCGGTCTGGATATTTTCTGTTGATCTACTTCTAGTTTATTCTCACTTCAGCTGTGTCTAACAGACTATTAAACTCACCTTCTGTGTTCTTAATTGCAACTATTAGACATTTTCAATTCTATAATTCCCATTTGGTTTGTTCTGGATTTCAATTCTCTGCCCAAAATATCCATTTTGTCATCTATTCCCTTGACTATATTAATCATGGTTATTTCAAGCTAAGTTAGTTGAAAGTATGTGTCTGATTATTTTAAAATACAGATCCTCTGTGGTCTTTTTCTATTGTTTCCTTTTTCCAATATTTCCTGGTATTTACAAAAATTTTTTATTGAAGGTCACATTATCACAGGCAAAAATTTGTAGAGCTATTGATAATATTACCTTCCTGTAGAGAGGATTTACTCTAGATTTTGTCAGGCAGGCAGAGTTTATCTTCTTTCAATCTGGGATTGAATTTATTCAAATCTGAACTCATTTCTTTTTTTTGGCCAGGGGCTGAGTTTGAACCAGCCACCTCCAGTATATGGGGCCCTACCCCTTTGAGCCATAGGCACCACCCTGAATTCAGTTCTTTTTAATGCCTTGTTTATTTCTGGTTTACTCTTATTCTTAGAGGATAGTTTTTTCAAGGGTTCTATATTAGTCATGGTTGACCAGAGAAATAGAACCATGAGGATATATGTAGGAATATGCATAAATATGTGTATCTGTGGGTGTTTATATAATGTATATAGGTGAGGTCAGACAATTAAGTTCACGACTGAACTACAGTCACCTTTGAAGTACTCCCCTTAGAAAGCTCTGCACTGATGCCAGTGCCTAGTCCATTCTTCAAAGCAATCTTGGAACTCCTTTTCTGGAATGACTGTCAAAGTGGTGTATGGCACACAGCAACAATAATAAATGCCACTCAGCAAGACATGGCCATACGTTGATACAAACACAGCCGTGAGACACCAATATACCAAGGTTATGAATGAAATCTTGCCAACTTTTTGTACAGTGCTGCCAATATAAGCTCATGGTGGCAAGTTCACAACTTAATTGTCAGGCCTCAAACAAGGTCTATATATGTATATATACTAAGAGAGAGAGATTTGAAGGAATTGATTCACATACTGTGGAGGCTTAGCAAATCCAAAGTCTGCAGGGTAGGCCCAGAGACCCTGCAGAATTGCGGTTTGAGCTTAAAGGCTGTCTGCTGGCAGATTTCCTTCTCCTACGAAAAGTTGCCAAGTGATTGAATGAAGCCTACCCACATTATGGAGGGTAATCTGCTTTACTCAAAGCCTACCAATTTAAGTGATAATCTCATCTTTAAAAAATACCATCACAGAAACATCTAGATTAATGTTTGCCTAAATATCTGGGTACCATGGCCTAGCCAAATCGACACATAAAATTAAAGTCCCAGCAGAAAGCCTAGAGTCTTTAACAATGTCCCTCCTCCATGGTGGGCTCTGAACTCTAGTATTTTTCTCCCTAGTCTCAGGAGTCAGCCAAAATCTCTGATTAGCTTCTCAGTATCTTAGTTACTTCTTGCTCAACTTCTTGATTTACAGCTCTGAAATTTATGGCTTAAACATTGAAAAATCTCTCAAGAAAAATGACATAAAATTTCAAGGTTCCCCAAATGAACTTTCTTTTTCTTTCGGTAACCTCATCTCTCATGTCCTAAATGCTTAGTAGTCATCTGGTGCCTTCAAACAGATGATTTTTAAATATTTTATCTTACAGGGAGGATCATGGAGATGCTAAGATACATTTTATTAGACTCAATTCTTTTTAATTAATAATTCTTTATAAATTTACAATAGCAAGACTTCATTAATGTAATATTGTGTATCATATTGAATAATATTTCATGTTGAAACACCACAGTGGGGTTCTCAATGATGTACTACCAGGAGAGAACATGCTTCAAAATTATCTGTGTTAACTAGAATAAAAGAACATAGTTACCTTAACTCCACCTCAGATTTAATAAATTTCAGTCTGTTGCAGTGGGTGTTGCAGATTTAATAAATTTGAGGGGTTCCAGTGAATGGGTTAAGAATACTAAACTAAGGCTGGACGTGGTGGCTCATTCCTGTAATCCTAGCACTCTGGGAGGCCAAAGTGTGTGGATTACCTGAGCTCATGAGTTCAAGACCAGTGTAAGCCAGAGTGAGACCAGTGTCTCTAAAATATATAGGCATTGTGATGGCTGCCTGTAGTCCCAGCTACTTGGGAGGCCTAGGCAAGAGGATCACTTGAGCCCAAGAGTTGGAGGTTGCTGTGAGCTGTGACTGAGCTAACAGCATTCTCATTAAAGACAAGGATGCTATTTGTAAGAGCAAAACATTAAACATTGTCCTGAAATTGCTTAATAGTGTAATAAAAATAAAATAAAGGTAGAAATACTGGTTGAAATAAACATTATTTCCAGATGTTATCTGCCTATAAAAGAAAAACTTGAAACTCACTTACTAATGAGTTTAGTAAAATAACTAGATACATGTGTATAATAACTTGCTATATGCATATGTAATAAAATACACATATTTTCTATATGCCAGTAATAATCAATCAGAAAATATAACCAAAAATGTTAATATAGTAGTAACAAAATATAGAAACCTAGGTAAAAAAAATGTGCAGGATCTATATGATGAAAACTTCAAGGCTCGGCGCCTGTGGCTCAAGTGGCTAAGGCGCCAGCCACATACACCTAAGGTGGCGGGTTCAAATCCAACCTGGGCCCGACAAACAACACTGACAGCTGCAACCAAAAAAACGCCAGGCATTGTGGTGGGCGCCTGTGGTCCCAGCTACTTGGGAGGCGGAGACAGGAGACTCGCTTGAGCCCAGGAGTTGGAGGTTGCTGTGAGCTGTGATGCCACAACACTCTACCCAGGGGGACAGCTTGAGGCTCTGCCTCAAAAAAAAAAGAAAAGAAAAGAAAACTTAAAGAAAAAAAAATTTTTTTTGAGACAGTGTCTCACTCTGTCCCCCTAGGGAGAGTGTCGTGGCATCATAGCTCACAGAAACCTCAAACTCCTGGGCTCAAACAATTCTCTTGCCTCAGTCTCCAAGTAGCTGGGACTACAGGCACCTTGCTATTTTTAGAGATGGGGGCTCCAGCACCTGTATATTTTTAGAGATGAGGGCTTGCTCTGGCTCAGGCTGGTTTGGAACCTATGAACTCAGGCAATCTACCTACCTTAGCCTCCCAGAGTGCTAGGATTACAGGCAGGAGCCACTGTACCTGGCTGCCCAGCTAACTGAGTCAGTAGAGCACGAGACTTAAAATTTTAATATTCTTTTTAAAATTTTTATCAGATATTTAAACTATTAAGAACAGAAACTATACTTGATCTTAGCCAATAGGTCAGGAAGCGCTGAAAACTGAGATGTTGGCTTGGTGCCCATAGCTCAGTGATTAGGGCACCAGCCACATACACCAGGGCTGGTGGGTTCAAACTTAAACCCGGGCCTGCCAAAAAACAATGGCAACTACAACAAAAAAAATAGCCAGACATTGTGGCGGGTGCCTGTAGTCCCAGCAACTTGGGAGACTGAGGCAAAAGTACCTCAGGAGTTTGAGGTTGCTGTGAGCTGTAATGCCATGGCACTCTACCTAGGGTGACAGAGTGAGACTCTGAATCAAATAATAATAAAAAAAAATTTAAAAAACAACTTTGAGATGTTATTGAGGAACAAAAAAATTTTTTAATAAATGGAAAGACATATCATATCCAATTATGTAAATATAATTGGATATAAATATTTTCCAAATTGACTCGGGTGTCTGTGGCTCAAGCAGCTAAGGTGCTAGCCATGTACACCTGAGCTGGCAGGTTCAAATCCAGCCTGGGCCTGCCAAACAACAATGATGGCTGCAACCAAAAAATAGCTGGGTATTACAATGGTTAAGAGTAGTCAAATGGGCTCGGCGCCTATAGCTCAACCGGCTAGGGCGCCAGCCATGTACACCTGGGGTGGCAGGTTCAAATCCAGCCTGGGCCTGCCAAACAACAATGATGGCTGCAACCAAAAAATAGCTGGGCACTGTGGCGGTGCCTGTAGTCTCAGCTACTTGGGAGAAGGAGAAAGGAGATTCACTTGAGCCCAGGAGTTGGAGGTTGCTGAGCTGTAATGCCACAGCACTCTACCCAGAGTAACAGCTTGAGGCTTTGTTTCCAAAATACATATATATATATATATATATATTTCCAAATTAATAGATGAATTCAATGTAATTTCTATTAAAATCAAAATGAATTTAAAGATTTAGTGGGAGAATAAATAAGTAACAATAACCATGAAATATGCATATTTACTTCCATGGACATTAAGATAATGATACAACTGGGCTGGGAGCAGTGTCTCACGCCTGTAATCCCGCCACTCTGGGAGGCCAAGGCCAGTGGATCGCCTGAGGTCTGGAGTTGGAGAACAGCCCAGCAAGATGGAGGCTTCTATTTCTAAAAAAAAAAATAAAATAAAAAATAAAAAATAGCCTGGTGTTGTGGCAGGTGCCTATAGTCCCAGCTACTTGGGAGGCCTAGGCAAGAGGATCACTTGAGCCCAAGAGTTTGAGGTTGCTATGAGCTGCGACACAACAACACTCTATGAAGGGCAACAAAGTGAGCATCTCTGTCCAAAAAAAAAAAGGTAATGGTGCAGCAATAAATAGAAAAATAAAGGAAAAGAGCAGAGTATTGGAAGAGGAAACATTTCAAATCGTGCAGATAATGTTGAGTAGTTAATATTTAAAGGGTACCGAACCGTTACCAAATGATGTTGGATGATACCCTTTGGGGGACAGAGGAGACAAGGGAATTTAATCCCTATTTTATAGTTTACATTAGAATAAATTTTAGCTCAGTTAAACATTTCAATATAACAGCGGTTAGATCAGCAGCAGCGGCAGCGCTGTCCTCTTTCTTGCTTTTCTTGCCATCACCCTTTCGCTTCCCGAAACATGGCCTCTGGTGTGGCAGTCTCTGATGGTGTCATTAAGGTTTCAATGTCATGAAGGTGCGCAAGTCTTAAATCCCAGAGGACGTGAAAGCGCAAAAAGGCAGTGTTCTTCCGCCTGAGTGAGGACAAGAAGAACATCTTCCTAGAGGCGGGCAAGGAGATCCGGGTAGGTGATGTAGGCCAGACTGTCACGACCCCTACCCCGCCTGTTCCACTGGTCTCAGCCACTTATGGAAGCAGGACGAGTAAGGGACCTTTCAATTAAAAGCAAAACAGAACACACACATATACACACACAAAAAGATTTCAATATAGCAAAAGAAATAATGAAAGTAATAACATAAAATGCAGTGAATATTTATACAATTAGGAGTTGGGGAATGCTTTCCTAAACATAGTACACAGATAGATACCATGGACAATAAAATAGACACTATTACATCAAGTTAAAATGTTTCTGGGCATGGTGGCTCATGCCTATAATCCCAACACTTTAGAAGCCTGAGGCAAGAGGATTGCTTAAGCCCAAGAGTTTGAGGTTGCTGTGAGCTATGATGACACCACAGCACTCTAGCCAGGGTGACAGTGTGAGACTCTGTCTCAAAAAAAGAAGGAGGAGGAGGAGGAAGAGAAGGAGGAAGAGGAAGAAAAAGAAGAATCACTCAGATGCAGATCAAAACCATTAGGATCCTGGGGCACAGTGGTGAAATCCTAGCACTCTGGAAGGTGGAGCTGGGTCAATTGCCTGAACTCAGGAGTTTGAGACCAACCTGAGCCAGAGCAAGACCCTCGTCTCTAAAAAGAGCTGGGCATTGTGGTCCCA